GCGCTGTCAGGACTGATATGTTGGTTTTGCTTAACTGCATTTCTTTGTTATCTGAGAGTTCTTAGAGAAAGCAGGTACTGAAATGACAGCAATTTTTTAAAAAAGCATCATATATGTAAGACACTGTCAATGTTACTTGGTTTTTCAAACTGCTTTTTTTCCTTTTATTTTTAAATCTTTGGGGGCAGCTAAGTGGTGCAGTGGATAGAGCACTGGCCCTGAAATCAAGAGGCCTTGAGTTCAAATCCGACCTCAAACTAATTACTTGACACTTACTAGCTATGTGACCCTGGGCAAGTCACTTAACCCCAACTGCCCTCACTAAAAAACAAACAAACAAACAAACAAACAAACAAACAAACAAACAAAAAGCTCTTCTATTTTTAAATCTTTGTTATCAGGGACTAAAGTTTATTAAAAGGGACTTTGTTATAAGGAACTATACCTGTAAGTATACTAAGAAATTAATTTAGTGTAAAAATGAAAAGGTATCAATAAAAATAAGACAAAATTTTTAAAAATAAGATAAGCACAATCATCCACCGGAAAAGGAGAACAGCAGATCATTCATTAACTGTTGTCAGTCAGGCACTGCTTACTGCTAGGGATACAAGAAAGGCAAAAAACAGTCTCTGTCCTCAAGTAGTTCAGAGTATAATGGGAGAGAAAACATGGAAACAATCACATACATACAAAACATAAAAAGGAATAGATGAAAGATGGTAATCCCGGAAGGAAGGGAGTATTCTTAATAGGGTACCAGGGAAAGCCATACTGCAGAAGGTGAGGTTTTAGCTGAAATTGGAACATTTCAGCTAAACATTCCACGTATGGGACACAGTCACTGAAAATGCATAGAGTCTGGAGATCAACGGTCTTGTGTGAGAACAGCCAAGGGGCCAGTGTCATAGTGGAAGTGGAAGACAGTAAGATGTAAAAGACAACTTGAAAGGCAGGAAGAGGCTAGGGCAGGGGTGGGGAACCTGCAGCCTTGAGGTCACATGCACCTCAAGTGCAGCCCTTTGACTGAATCCAAACTTCACAGAACACATCCCCTTAATAAAAGGATATGTTTTGTAAAACTTGGACTCAGTCAAAAGGCCACACCCAAGGACCTAAGGCCACATGTGGCCTCCAAGCTGCAGGTTCCCCATCCCTGGGCTAGATTATTTATGAAGGGCTTTCTTTGAAAGCCAAACAGTATTTTATATGGGATGCTGGAGGTTAATAAGGAGCTACTTTAGTTTACTGAGTGGGGGAGGGGTATGTATGTACGACATGGTCAGACCTCCACTTTAATAAGATCACTTTAACAGCTGAGAGTACCGACAGATTGGAATGTGGAGAGATTTGAGCCAGGGAGCTCAAACAGAAGGCTACTGCAATAGTTATTACATTGATATTACAAAGGTAGAATCAATAGGACAACAGATTAGATATGGGGAGTGAGAGTGAGGAGTCAAGGATAACACCTAGGTTTTGGGTATGGATGATTAAGAGGATGGTGAACCTTTACAGTAATAGGGAAGTTAGGAAAAGGGGAAAGTTTGGGCAGGTGTGGGGGGAAGGGAATAATGAGTTTAGTTCTGGACATGGTGAATTCAAAATGCGTAAGAGACATCCAGTCTGAGATGTTCAATAAGCAGTTGGAGATGTACGAGACTAAAGTTAAGCAGTAAGGTTTTTTGTTGTCATTCAGTGGTGTCCAACTCTTTGTGACCCCATTTGGGGTTTTCTTGGCAAGGACACCAAAGTGGTTTCATATTTCCTTCTCCAGCTCATTTTACAGATGAGGAACTTAGGTAAACAGGCCTAAGTGACTTGCCCAAGGTCACAACAGCTAGTAAGCACCTAAGGCCAGATTTTAACTCAGGAAGATGAGTCTTTCTGACTTCAGGCCCAGTACTCTATCCACTGCCAACACCTAGCAGAGAGGTTAGGCATAAAGAAGTAAACGCCAGAATCTTCAGCACAAAAATAATAACTGAATCCATGGGAGGTGATAAAATTAACAAGTGAAAAAAAGGAGAAGAGGGTCAAGACAGAATGCTGTGGGACACCCCCTTTTAGCAGGGGTGCACCAGAATGAAGATCCAACAAAGGAGACTGAGAACAAGGGATAAGTTAGGTAGGAGAAGAAGCAGCAGGAAAGAGCAGTGTCATGGAAACCTAGAAGAAAATATCAAGAAAAGGGTCAGCGGCAGAGGCTGTAGAGAGATCAAGAAGGACGAAGACTGAAAAAAGGCTATTAGAATTGGCAATTAAGATCATCCATAACTTTAGAAAAAATAGTTTTGCTGTTTGATATGGTTGGAAGCACAACTGCAGAGTTAAGATACTAAGAGAAAAGGAAATGGAATCATCTATTGTAGACAGCTTTCTCAAGGAGTTTAAGCTTCGAAAAGGAAGCGAAACATAGGATGAAAATTATTGCAGTTGGATGGATCAAGTGAGGATTTTTTGAGGATGGGGAAGACAGGGAGCTTGCTTACAGACAGCAGGAAAACAGCCAGGAGATAGGGAGAGATGAAAAATTACTGAAAGTGAGGATTAAAAATTACTGAAAATGAGGATGATACAGGGTGGAATCACTTATTCCTGCAGAAAGGTTTGCCTTAGCAAAAAAGGGCACCTCTTAATGTGGAGGAGAGAACGGCAAAAGGCATCTGAGTGATGTGAAATGAGGACTGGAAAAGAAGGAGTTCTCAACTCAGTACCTCAACTTTTTCAGGAAAATATGAGGAAAGGTTGGGGGGGAGGGGCCCCCAAGGAAGGTGTCAAAGGAGGTTTGAAGAATGATGAAAAGCTTTAGGATAGTGAATTGATTAGGGAGGTATAAAAAGATTGCCCCACACTGAGAGAAGGCTCAATTGACACTATGTAACACAAAAATCTGTGAGTTTGATTGAGACTTTCTCTAGCTCCATTCAGCATCATGAGAATAAACTGAAGCCCATTGGTGGTAGGAGCGATCCAAGGTTGGGGTTTTGCAAGATATGTTAGGTGATAAAACAAGGGGGAAAGGGACTTGAAAGTAGAAGATTGTATAGAGTTTAACTGGTTTATCAAGTGGTCAAGATGATGAAGAGTAAAGTAAAGCCAGTGCAAGGTTGATGGCCTGATAAAGGACTAAAGGGTAGAAGGTTTAGAGGTCATCTGAGAATAAAGAATAGGGTTCAGGATCTAGGGACAGTAATGCTAACGGAAAGATGGAATAATAAAAGATTATTAGATAAAGTAAGTTCAGAGTTCATAATGCCTTTTATGGGGTAAAAAAGTAAGTCATGGGAAATAAGTAAACTTGAACTAAGAAACTAGGGCATGAGGAAGTCTCAGTAGGTAATGTTGAGGTCCCCTGGAATGAAGGCAAGAGTTAAGGAGGACTGAAAAACTGTATGCCAGGCACTATACTTAGGGAAGAAAGACGGAGAATATTCTTGGGAAAGGTGGTCAACAGCTACTAGAATCCTGACTGAGTGGTGAATACAGACTGAATGAACTCCAGGTCCAGTACTCCCTCTCTTACAACAACCACAGAATGTTAGGGGCTACAAGTAAAAGGCATTACTAAAGTGCATGTATGTGAAGCTTTAAAGCAAAATTTGGACCATTCTAATTTTTTAAGAAGTTCTTTTTGTAGGGGGCAGCTAGGTGGCGAAGTGGATAGAGCATTGGCCCTGAAGTCAGGAGGACGTGAGTTCAAATCCGGCCTCAGACCAAACACTTGACACTTACTAGCTAAGTGACCCTAGGCAAGTCACTTAACCCCAACTGCCTAAAAAAAAAATTAAATAAGTTCTTTTTGTAGTCTGAATTAAAGTATGAAAAATTAACACTACGGTAATTAGGTACTCAGGAAAGGCAGAGGGGCATGGTGGAAAAATATTTCTGAGATAAAAATAGGAAGCATATACTCAAATACCTTCGTTGAGTATGAATCAAACAAATTAGTAATATCAATGAACTATAGCTGTCTTTAGGACCAAAAATGTTTGCTTACTATGGTTTCATGAAAATGTCCTGTCTTCTAATACAAACAGAATGAGAGGCATGTTTAGTTAGCTTTAGCAGTAATTGGAACTGATGGCAAATTATACCAAAAGAATCTCCTAGGTTTAGTAGACAACAGCAAAATTGTCACTTTTTAACATAACCTGTTAGGTTATGTAGGACCAAAGTATTATTAATTAGTTGGTCAAAAGAACAGATGCATTTGTCACCAAATGACCCTATCTTTAATGAATGTGACCTAGAATTTTTAGTACAGCTAACTCTCAATTATCCATGCTAATTGAGGATTCTAAGGAAGAAGTAAAGTAGGTAATTGAAATCCACAAGTAAACTAAAAAACACTAATTTTATCTTCACAAAGCTACCTGTAACAGATGACAAAAAGTATTTAAAGTACATCTACTATGTACCCAGCACCATAGCAGTAAGAAATCTAAACTTTAAATTTCCTGTTTAAAAAAAATTCAAGTGTTTTAATATGCCAAAATTCACACTGGTTTCTGGAAAACATGGACTCTTAGAATTGGACAGGACCCTAAAGATCAAGTCCAAATCCCTAAACAGAAGTTAGGAAAACATGCACAAGGTCATATAGCATCCAGTGACAAAATGGAACTGGAAACCAGGTTGTTCTGAATCCTACTCCAGCGCTGAGAAACAATATAATTAGTTCCTGTTTTTCCATGGTAATGGAGGACAGGACAAAGTGTATGTCTAATCCAAACAATTCTCCAATCAAACCTTCACCAGAGCTTCTAACAAGTAATATCTATGTTTCACTTTATTTTCCAGTGGTGGTGCTAACAATTAGCAAAATGGCCAAATCCAGGAAGCAGAAGGGAAAAAGAAAAGCAAAATGGCCCAGATAATTCCCAAACCACACATTCTACCTCTGAGTAACAGAGAGTTGGCTGTACTTGAAAGATATGCAGAAGACTAGCAAATGTGCTGATCACGTTTACTGGAACAAGTAAAGTTAACAGCCATACCACCTTGGGCTGTGAGATCACAAGTTAAGCAGGATTGGGACCAGTCATTATTTGGATGGGAGGAAAACCCAAAGTGCTGCAGGAAGTGATGGTGGTGATTCAGCTGATGGAGCTCCTCACTTTGATTCAATAGGGCACCTGCAGGGTGCAGGGGACACAGTGCAGCTTCAGGTGCTGTCATTCAGTTCACACACACACAGAGATACAAAAAGAAAGATGTGATTAGAGATCCAATGGCAGTTCTTACAAAAGAAGGGAATTCATGATTGGCCAATTAGATTTAAACCTAAACTCACCTCCTCTAGCCTGTACTTCATTTGGTAGCTCTGTTTTAATCTCAATTAAGCATAGTTATCTCCATAAAATAACAATTTTATTTTAGTGGCTAATCAAATAATTTAAAAACTAGAAAAGCCCTTGGACAGCATCTAGTTCGATCCTTTCATTTTATATGTGAGGAAACTGAGGTCCCAAGAGAGAATGAGTAATTCTAGCACTCCTTCTGCTGTACCATGCTACCTCTTTTTAGCTATGATATAGTTAGCTTCATAAATATTTTAGGAAACACAAGTCCTTTAATGTTTCCATTTTGTGTCCTATAACTCCTTTACAGCAAGGAAAATGCCAACTATGTCAGAGTTCTACCAAAAATAAGCATTAATCAATTAAATTTAACAAGAACAAATTAGGACTCTTGGGGGGTAATCTCAAGACAGAGAAGAAAAAAAAACAAAAAATACAAAGGGTTTCTGCTTGTTATTACCTTTAATTTTTAGATAAAGGTTTATTTATATGAATGTCATAGCTCCCTATCTGAAGATATATATACATGTATATATATATGTATATATATATATATATATACACATATATAAATATAAAAAGATATATATGAAGAGATATAGATATTTCAAGTGGTTACTAAGCTACTTTTGCTTGAATATCACTGCTCAGATTAAAAGGGAAAAAAATTACAGTACCTGAAAATAAGATACATAACATGTTTTGAATATGGTAACTCAAAAATCCTAAATGCATGAATAAAAAATCTGTTTATACACCCAAACCATCCCCTTTGTACTAGGCAAAGGAACTGGATTAAAATTACATTTGTTGAGCTAGCCAACCATGCTATCCAGAAGATGGGGATTACTACTTGTAAAGATGTACTGGCATAATGCTATACAGATGCAAACATTCACATATTGTCTAATTACATCTATCTGGGTAAACTAGTACTACTTTATTAGCATTGTCTCAAAAGTAACTTAATTCTATTAGACACTTAATTCTACTTTCATTCTTCTTGTGTTCCATTTACAAGGCAACACTGCTTTAGCAGGGAGAGGAAGTACAAAGCCAAACCAGTCCAAATGCACAAAGTGAGAAAACATTTCAGTGTTCACATTTCAAACCAGAAATAAACTAAAATTGCCACAATATTTACAATACATAAAAAACTTATTTTCTAAAACAGAATGTCATTTATGATGAAAAAACTGGACAGAAAACATCTCTCTCTGTCCGTTCATTCTGACAATGAAACAAAATATAGAGGCAACAAGGAGATCTATTACATCTTGAATAACTAGAAAAACTGTAACTCCATTCAAGATGAAACACAATCTTTAGAACCTAGCAATTTTCTCCATAACTACAAAAGAAAGTAAATTCTCAATCTGCCTGGGGAGGGAGATTATCCATTTCCTTGCAGCAAAATAATTTTGTGGGAACTGGGATGCTAGGCTTTCCTTTCAACTTTTGTTGACATTATCACTACCTTTGTTTACTCTTGTTCCTAAAATAAACTAGAAAGGAAGTTCTGCTCAGAATTAAGCTCCAGAAAAAGGCTTCTAAACAAAAAACAATATGTTGCCTCCTCAGAGAAGATATGAACTAGATCTAGTCACATCACATGTATAGCAAAAACAGAAATAGCTATACTCAGGTTGATGGTATGTAACACTTTTACAAATGATGTTATCATGTACTCCCAGAAACAAAGTGGAGAGAAAAAAAGGACCTGAAAAGGGTCTGGGGCTGAATAAAAAAGCTGGACACTGTTCTAACTCCTCCAGAATCAATTCTTCACTGTACTTTCATGACTGTTCAGTGTTAGGAAGTCAGAGATTATAATCTTTACAAAACAAATACTAAATTAAATATAAAATGACTTTGATTATATACTGCTTTAGATGACTGCCACTACTTCGATTTAAAACACAAAAAAATTACTATTTCAAATATTATCAATAGTTATTTATAGCTCTGTAGACCAAAGTCACATTCTTTACATGAAGACACACTACGGTACTTACAGCCATGGTAAGATGCTGGGGAACCTCCAGATTTGCCATACTCTTGTTCAGAGTAGCTAGTCGACAGGTTGGGCTGACTGGAACCTCTACCAAAGGTAATCTGGTTACTACCAACCCCAGTGGCCACCTGAGCCATTCGCTCTTTGGTCTTCAGGGCTTGGGCCCTCTCAATTTTAAGTCGCTCATCATCCTTCAGAAGGGATACCAGCTGCTTAGACTTCTCTCTTACATTAATACCTTGATCTTTACCATCTCGATCAATGTATTGGAAATCTTTTAGTGTCTGGATAGCAAATATATTTTCTTTACATTGCTGTGCTACCCGTTCTGAGCCAGTTTTAATCAGGTAATCCAAGAGGGTCAGGGCCTTATACACATGTCTCCAGTTCTTCCCATGGTCATTTAGCCGTTTCCAGATCATACTCATGATTTCAGAAAATGCCACCACATTGTAAGTCAGATCTGCTATTTCAGTCATTAAAGAGCTAGAAGGACCCCATGGATCATTGGAGGTTGCTTCTCGAACTTTAATTTCAGCCTCTGAATAATTGTTCACAATGTTCTTCACCTGCCGTCTAATAGACGAAGTCGTCATTTTTACTTTCTGTTATACTTTTAAAGCCCTTCAAAAAGAAGTAATTTGGTAGCCAGCAAGTTTATGTACTATGAAAGTTCTATTTCAGTGAATGATCTGAAGCAAAGACCTTATAAAATCATTTTCTTTTGAGTCTCAAAGGCAAAAAGCTGGAAGCCATGACCTAGAGGAAAAAAAAATCAAAATTATTAAATTAATTTTAATGCTTTTATAGCATTTATTCTTTTCTTTACTAACATTTTAAACAAATACTAGGTGCTTATACATATCATTCTTTTCAGTTTCATTTCAAGTCACTTAAGTTTACTTAAATTAACACATACAATATTAGCAGCATGATATAGTGAAAAGTGTACTGGTTCTGAAGTCAGAGGTCCTAGGTTCAAATGCAACCTTTGATATTTACAACTTCTGTGACCTCAGGCCAGTAACTTAACCTCCCTAGGTCTCAGTTTTCTTATCTGTAAAATGAGTCCGGACTGATGGTTCTGGCAATCCTTTCTAGCGCTAGATCCATGACCCAAAAAGAAAAGTTAAAGTACTTCATGAAAATTAAGAGAAACTCTCAATATTGCTATCTCACATACATATACTATATATATACATACACACACATATACACACATACAAGATAGAAACCTCAGATTTGTTTTACTTTGCATTTCTATGACTAACAGTAACTTGGAGGTTTTTTTATACAACTGTTGATAGCTTGCCACTCATTTGAGAACCTTCTGTTCTGTGACCACTTATCTACTGGTGAATGGTTCTTGATTCCTCCACATTTACACCAATTCTTTATAGAATTTAGATATCAGACCTTTATCAGAAAAATTTACTGTCAAGATTTTACCTCCAATTAACTGCTTCCCTTCTGACTCTTAATTGCTTTTATTTTCTTCAGCAGAAGCTTATTAAATGCAATCCATTAAAATCTTCAGATCTTTACATGACAGGCAAACCTCTCCCATCTTGTATTTGAAAAGCTGACCTTTTGAATCCAAATAAACAACTTTACATGTATTACATTTTCTTAGATTTAGCCCCATTTCCTAGTCCACAGAGATTTTTCTGGAGCTTAACTCTGACAATCAATTACTTAGCTCTCCCTCCTAGAAATGGCATCTGTAAGTTTGATAAGTGTGCAATCTATGCCTTTATTCTAGTTAGTGATAAAAATGCTAAACTGTACAAGTGCAAGCATAGATACCTAGGGCACTCTACTAGAAACATTTCGCCATCTACTAACTACTATTTTGATCCAGTCACTGAACCTGTTCTAAATGCACCTAGCTATTATCACTTAACCTACTTTTCTCCATCTTGTCCACAACAAGGATGGCATGAGATATCGGCAAATGCTTTACTGAAATCTTTGTAAAATCTACCTACACCTATCTCTAGACCTACACCTATCCATCTATTCCCACATCTCCTCTTCATAACTGAAGCCCTGCTGACTTTTTGTAGACACTGCTTTCATTTATGTACGTAAATTATATTTAACAGCATGTCCTAGAATTTTGCCATTAGTCAAAATCAAGCTACTAGTCTAAATTTTGCACTTCTGCGGTCTTGCGCCGTCTCTCAAAAATTAGGACACTTGGCCATATTCAGTCCTGTGCTATCTTTTCTGTTCTCTAAAATCTCTCAAAGTTCAGTTATTCATTCACACGATACCCTGGGATGCAGTGCATCTAGGCCCAAGGACTTGAACTCATCAGTGCACTTAAGTGCACTCTTAGCTCCTTTCTTATCCTGAGTTTCAATTCCTTATTATCTTTTTTGTTCTGTCTTTTCCAATCTAAATACTATTCTCCTTGTCAGAGAAAACTGAAACAAAATAAGAATTGAGTAATTATGCTGTCTCTCCATTATGTTATTATATGTCGTCATTCCATCAAATCCAAGGAGTGATCCTATCTCTTTTGTTAACCAATCCTTTCCCCCCAAATAACTAAACATACTTTTTTTTCTTCTGTTGTTGTTCCTAGGACTCATCGTGAACCCCAGGTCTTTCTGAGTTCTAGTGTCTTTCCACTATTCTTACAGGACCATGACACACTTTCATATTCAGCCTCTGTACTGTTACATCTTTTTAAAATCTAAGTTGATTAATAAGTTCTGAGCATTCACATTTCTCTTTAGAAAATGTTCCCTTTCTCTCCTTACTGGAATTATATTCCTGTTTGTGTCTTCAGAACATTATCCTTGAGAGTTCCACAACCCTCCAGGGATGACTTCTCCTAAAGAATTTTAGGGAACTGGAACCAACTTATTTTTTCTTTGACCTCTTTGAAATCTTATCTCCACAAAATCTAAGACATTTTTCAAATTATGCCTGGCTTTCCTTTCTTTCTCTATCACAAAGTATAAGATTCAATAGTTCCCAACATTTCTTCTACCTGGGCAACTAGGTCCTCATCCTCAGTTAAAATCAGATCCAGAATATCAGCTTTGCTTGCCATTTCCACAACCTTTTAAGGAATGAAATTATCACTAAAGCAAGCCAAGATTTTAGCTTTTTTGCTTTTGGCCTCTCATCCCTATCACTGTATCATTTCTCCATGTTAGACTTACCTGCCTCTGAACTTCTCATTATTACCTCCTCCTGGCTGGGTAGTCTCTAGTATAATCACATTAACTATCACTTCTTTCTCCCTCTGTTGATGTTATTCTAAATATTCCTCCTTATTTCAGGGTCTTGGACTTCCTTATATGAATTTATCTTCTTAATACATGATGCTAATCCACTGTCTTCTTTTTATCAATATTTGAAGAAAGTATTCTGCCCCTGCCCCCAAGAACCTTTTTTTCAGGTTTGAGGTTTATCTGACCAAGTCTCAGTGATAACTATGAAGTCAAACTTTGCTTCCCAAAGTTAGGATTAATAGTTCACTTAGCTTTTTTACCTATAGGTTGTACATTTATGTACAGGCATTTGAGGCTATTACTAAAACTTAACTACTGGCATATGAATTATTGGGTCTTTCTACTGATATTCTTCCTTCCCTGGAACCACTCTATGAGATCTAGTTTGGTAGGTCAGTAATTTTCTCCTATTTTCCTTTTCACTGAAATGTCCACTTGGATCAGGTTTGTGATAGCAGGGCAAATATATTTTTTACCAGCCCTCATTAGATCCACTCTACCTGTGGCCAAGAATCCATCCATCATTCCTATATTTCAAGAACTGGTCTGAAAATTGAAATCCTACTCTCAGACACCAATCAACAAGAATCTATTAAGCACTTACCATGTGCCTGATATTGTGTTAAGCTCTAGAGATACAAAAACAAAAGTAAAACTACCTGCCCTCAAGGAATATACATTCTAAGGGAGGCAACATAAAAGTATGTACAGAATATGTACAAAATGAATACCACGTAGTTTGTAGAGGGGTACATCAATAGCTGGGGGGAATCAGGAAAGGTGATGCTTGAGCTGGATCCTGAAGGAAATTAGGGATCCTAAAGAATAGAGGAGATGATGAGGATGATGTCTCCAAATACAGGAGACAGCTTGTCAAAGATACAAAGACGGAGTGTCTGGAACAATGAGTAGGCCAGTCCTCTGTGATCCAATAGGTTAGATCACAGACTAGAGGAAAGAAAAATATGAGACGACTCAAAAAATAGGAAGGCATTAGGTTGTAAAGAGTTTTAAATGTCAAAGGAGCCTATATTTAGGTAGCTAGGTAGCACAGTGGACACAGTTCTGGGCCTGGAGTCAGAAAGACTTTTGAGTTCAGTCCAGGTCAAAAACTTACTAGCTGTGTCACCCTGGGTAAGTCACTTTACCTGTTTGCCTGTTTCCTCATCTGTAAAATGGAGATAATAATTATAAAGCACTTAGTACAGTGCCTGGCACATAATAAGCACTATATAAATGTTAGCTATTATTTGATCATCAAGGCATTAAGAACCCCACCTGGTTATTTGGTGAGATGGGGGGGGGAGGGAGAGGAGAGGTTAGATCAAACATGAACTTTAGGAAAATCTCTTTGGCAGCTTTTGTGGAACATGAATTAGAAGAGGGAAAGGCTTGGAGCAGAGAGCCCAAACAGCTATTGAAATAGTATTGGAAGAAAGGTACTAAGAGGTTGTGTGTTGTATGAGAGGTGAAAGAACGGGATATAAGGGGGATGCTGTGTGCTTCAGACAACCAGATCTGACAACTGGCTAAATGTGAGCAGTCAAGGAAGACACTAGGTTGTGAACTAAGGTGATTAGAAGGTGGTGCTCAGATATAACTATATGGAACAACGATAAGTTGGGTGCGGCAGAGAGGGATTCTGTTTTGGCATGTTGAGTTTGAGATGCCTGTTGGATATGCAGTTTGAAATGTTCGGTTGGAAGCTAGTAAAATGGGACTAGAGCTCAGCAGTGTGATCAGGCTTGAGAGCCATATACATATAGAGTAGTGAGCCCGTGGGACCTAATGAAATCATTCAGAGGAATAATGTAAAGAGAAAAGAGAAAAAGGCCCAAGGCGAGAATATGGGTACATCCAATTAGTAAGCATGCTATGGATAATGAAAATTAGCCAGGAGCAGTCAGACAAGCAGAAGAACTAAGAGAAAGCAGCATCCTGAAAACCCAGAGAGAAGAGTATCCACGAGACAGTAGTCAACAATATCAAATGCAGCCGAGAAGATAAAGATCTTCTTAACCAGTTATTCATTTCCCCAAACTGACAAACCTCTTTAATGCACAGCAATGAAAAAAAATATCATAAATGACCTTCAGCAATGTTTTCTAGGGTCCTTCTAACAATATTTGTCCCTTACTTCCCTTCTCCAAGCCTCAATTTCCTCATCTTATATGACAGGGTTGACCTACATCAAGTTTCCAAACTTATTTGGCCTACTTCCCCTTCAAAAAAAAATTACTCAGCGCCCCCATGGAAATCTACTTCCTTTAGCCCTCTTGACAATTTTTTTGAAATTTGAACATTAAGCAATGCAAATGGATAGCTCTGATTACATTAAACTGAAAACTTTTTGCACAAACAAAGCCAATACAACCAAGATTAGAAGGAAAGTAGAAAACTGGGAAAGAATTTTACAACCAGAGTCTCTGATAAAGGCCTCATTTCTAAAATATACAGAGAATTAAATCAAATTTATAAAAATACAAGTCATTGCCCAATTGATAAGTGGTC